CCCCGCCGCTCTTTCCAAAGCCCGGGCTTCTCGGTGCAGCAACGCCGGCCTCCTACCCCTGAGGCAGCGGCCCCCCTCAAGAGCTCTTTACCCTTTTCTAGGAAGTTGGTCACCACCAGAGTCCCAGCTGCCGCCGAGTCTGGGGCCCCCGCACGAGAGGAAGCCGCAGAGGACAAGGGCGAACCATTTTCCATGCTTAGGTTCAGCCGCTTTCGATTCTTCTTGGAAGACATGACCCGAGGGCAGCCCAAGCGGAGCGCCGAGAGAGCGAAGTAGAAACGAAGCCGGCTCAACCGGAGCGCGCTGTGTCTGAGGGAGAGAAAACTTCCGGGATAGAGGTCAGGAAGGCGCGGCCGCCGGGGCCGTAATCCTCCGAGTGGGGCACAATGGCATGGGTCGGGCCTTAGAGTAGAACCAAAAGTCTTCAGAGCCCGCGGTTAGAGAGGGTCTCAGTTCTGTAAAGGACCACGTATTTGGTGTATGGAACCACTACTTAGATTGTGAATCTCTAAAGACTGGACCTTCTGACACCTCCGTCTGTTTGCCTCATCCCTGAACAAACTTCCTTTGATTGAAACTAGCAAATAAAACAAGCAGGTAGTAAGTTTCTCCTTGCCTTCCTAGAACCGGGCGTGGACAGGACTTCGTATCCCCTCGCTAAAGTTTTGCAAAGCAGGCATCCCAGCTCAACGCTGAGCAGAAGTTGGGGGCGCTCTTCTAAAGTTTACGGTAAAACCTCTGAAGCGGAGCTCGCGGGCGGGGCTGAGGGCGGGGCGAGCGAGGCGATGGTGCTGTGGTGGACCTGGGGCTTGTGGCGCGCGGCTCTGGCCCAGCCCGGCGCGGGCAGCCTCTCGGCGGGGATTCGCGGGGCTTCGGGCGCCTCGGGCCCCTACGCCGCTGCGGGAGAGCTACGGGGAGAGCCGGACAGATACGGGGGCATCTCGGTGCGGCTCGGCGCGCTGGAACGCCTGGACGCCGCCGTGTTCCAGAGGCGCTTGGAGGGCAAGTGCGCCGGGGCTGGGGCTGGGGGTCCCAGAGCCTCTTTGAGGAAACCCCCGCGTCCCGCCCGGAGGGAAGGGGACCCGGCACGCGCGACCTTGGCCTGCTTGCTTCGTTTAATTCCCAAGGCCTTGGTATTTTAGGCTGCTTCGCAAAATGGTGGTCTTTAGGGTGAGCAGCTCGGGTTTCTGGTCCACCTTCTAGTGTGTGAGCAAAGTTCTTTAACACCACCATTTTCGCATCCATCAACCCGAATGACGGGAGCTCAGGATTGTTGAAGGTTCCCTTGGGTAAGGCGCACAAAGTGCACAGCACGAAGTCTGCCACCTACTTAGCTGTAAGGCAGTTGTTCGCTGTCACTTAGGGAGCCTTAGTTCTGCTGCGCAAATCTGCCTCCTACTCCAATACAGGTGTGGAGAAGCAGTGCTCTGGAGAGGGTCTGAGCATCAGTGGTGCGCAGATGGGGCCAGGATTCTCCGGGCAAGAAGTAGAGTTTACTTCTACTTCCAGAGCAGTTCAGTTTTCACTAGGAAAACCGCATGCACTGCCTTTGAACACTGAGTCCAGTAGGAAGCTTGAGTGAAGGACCCTTCACTTTGGAAGAAGTGCTTGATTTGATGTTTTTCAGAACCTGTTTTTCAAACTCCCTCAAGGGGCCAATAATCAGACTGAAAGTATAGTGAGGAAATTCAGCTATGGAATACCAATACGGAGAGAACTTTTCACACAAGGGTACTTCAGATTTTTATCCAATTGAGCATTTTTGCAAGTAAGCATCTATAAGTGTAACAGAGCTAGTTAGTTCACCTTTATCACCAAACCACCTCATACCTCCTCATGTCATTTTGTCTCCTATTTGTGAACAAATAGAAGCTCCATTAGACCCCAGTAATATCACCAGTAGAAAAATCAAATCAATTCATTCTCCAATGTGTGTACATATATGTGTGGGTAGAGACCTATATTTATTGTACACATGGACTTATCAGCAACCAACAGGGGATCAAAGCATTACCCCAGAAAGCATGTTGGATTTGGAGGTACATATCCGGGGTTCCTGTGTCAGGTTCTACCATTAAGCAAATGGCCACTGAAAATAATTTGCCTCATAGGTTGTTTCTGTGAATAATTCCATCCCAACTCAATAAATCTGACCAAAGATAATTTACAGCTAGACCATGCCTATAATACCACCTACTGGGGAGAATAAGACAGGATTGCAAATTTGAGGTCAGTGTGGACAACTTAAAACACTGTCACAAAAAGTTTAAGGATGTAGCTCAGTGGCCTAGCATGTACAGTGCCCTGGGTTCTAATTTCTAGAACCACATTTAATAAAAGATAACAGATGAAACTAATTTGTCAGCTCAGAAGTACCATTTTAAAATATTTTATTAAAAAATAAAATTTTTTAATAAAATAAATTGTTAAGTGCTAGACACTAAGAATCTAAGAATTCAGAAACAAAAATATTTATGTTCATTATGGTATGACTTTTTAAAATTTTATTGGTACATTTTAGGTATACAATATAAGGACATTCCTCATTGGAAATTTGCACCTTTACATAATCTCTCTTGGTTCTTATTTTTCCCCCTTCCCCTGGCCTCCCTTCAACCCCTCCAACCCTCCCTATTTACAAAGACTTTCTTTCCATTTTTTCATTTTCTCATATTAATTCCATTCCCTTCTTTCCTTTCCCCTACTCCTCCCACTTCCCCTTCCGCTTTGCTCCTTTTCTTTCTATTTGACATTATCTATTATACCTTTTAGTCCTTATTTACACTTTCAGTTTCTCACACTAGAGAAACTATTCGGTATTTACACTTGTGTGTCCTATTGATTTAAGAATATTGCCTCAATGTGCATCCATTTGGCTATAAATGTCTCTAATTTTTCATTTCTTATGGATGAGTAGAACTCCATTTTATAAAAAAACATATTTTCTTTATCCAGTCTCCAGTTCATGGGCATTTGGGCTGTTTCCAAGTTTTAGCTATTACAGACTGTGATGCTACGAACATGAGTGCACATACATCACTGAGATATGATTACTTTAATTCTTTGGAGAAGATACCCAGCAGGGGAATAGCTGGGTCAAATGGGGCTTCCAGTCCTAATTCTTTGAGGAATCTCCATACCGATTTCCACAGTGGTTGAACCAGTCTACATTCCCACCAGCAGTGGAGCACTGTTCCTCTTTACCCACAGCCCCGCTAGCATTTGTTATTGGTTGATTTCTTGATAGCAGCCATTCTTTCTGGAGTGAGGTGAAATGTCAGTGTTGTTTTCATTTGCATCTATCGAATGACCAGTGATGTTGAACATTTTTTCATATGTTTCTTTGCTGTTACTATTTCTTTGTCTGAGAAATATCTGTTCATTTCAGATGCCCATTTTTGGATTGAGTCTTCAAATTTGGGAGGTCTAATTTTTTTAAGTTATATTTTCCAGATAGTAGACCTTTGTCTGAGGGACAACTGGTGAAGATTTTTTCCCACATTGTGGGTTGTCTCTTCACACTGCTGGTGGTTTCTCTTGCTGTGCAGAAGCTTTTTAGTAAGAAAAGATGCCACTTGTTGATTGTTTGGGCTATTTAACAGGCCACTGAGGTTTTGTTCAGAAAATCTTTTCCTGCACCAATGTCTTCAAGAGTTCTTCCTAAACTCTCTTCCAGCCGATTTAGTGTT